AGTCTTGGGAGGTGGCGTGCTTCCAAGTATTGGTCGAGTTCCTTCAGATTGTCATATTTCTGGGAATAAAGTTTCTCCTAGCTTTCTTTACATCTCTCTGATTACTTATTCTCAGTTTTGTGTGCTGGCTCCATTTCTTCCACTGGCCTTCGAATGTCCGCATTCCATAGGGTTGTATCTTAGTCATCTTAATGGTCTATGCTATTTCTGTGCCATTTCATCTATTCCCTCATTTCTAGTACTACCTATATGCTAACAACTCACAAATCTACATATTTTGCTCAGCATTCCTGTTAAGCCTCAGATATCTTCAATGCCAAACACTTTGATCTCAACTCATTTCAAATGAAATTTATCTATCCCTACTAAATCTCTCTCAATTCTACCAGTGATGATGCTTTAATGAGACTTGGTATAGTAACTGGCACACAGTAAGTAGTTAGAAATGGCAGTTCACTATGTTGTTCCAAGTTCTAGGCCTATGAACATGCAACAGTCTACTTAGAAATGCTTCACCACACACTTGCAGGGGTAGGGGGCCTCATGAACTCCTAATCATCAGTTAAAATCTAGCTCAAGTCCCTCCTCTCTGAAACTTTCCTAGGCCCACTCTTGCAGCCTTGATGGCCCTCCTTTGTCTTATCACCATATAATTTGTTTTTCCCTCTGTTAGCGCAATTACTATGTTTTGATATAATTCTTTGTTTACATGTCTGACTTCCCTAATAGAACGAGCTCCTCACAGATAGCAACTGCTTCTCAGTCATCTTTGTATTTCTGGTGCCAGACATGGTAGGTGTCCAATAGATATTTGTTGAAATGATTTTTTTCTTAATACAAAATGCAATTCACTTGAGGAAAGAAAAAGCACTGGCAGAGGATCTGGAGTGATTGACTATCTCAACTTATTTGGAAAAGGTTAACCATTAAAATAGTCACATCAGGCCCAATGAAGCAAAGCCAACTTCATTTTTAACAAGCAGATAATATATCCATCCATGAGAAAAATAAATTTTTTTCCATTGTGTACTAATATTTGCTTTTTTACTTTTTCCCCTTAAAAAAAAACCAGATTTTAAAAAGTGACTTCAATTACAGTAAAAAATAACACTTCAACAGGAAACAAAGAGGAAAGTATCTGTCAGTGAGACATTCTGTTTTTGTATAGAAACATTTCAGTTTGACAGCATGAAGCAAATACTGGAAGTAAAATATGCTGAACTCTATAAATGTTTAACACTTAATCTGTTAGAACGAAATATGACTTACTGTGGTTACTATTAAACTGAATAGAATTAATGTAAAAAGCAGGTGGTAGTTTACTGAGTTCTTGGCCTTGAAACATTCAAACCTTTAAAAAAAAAAGAGAGAAACTTTTTTTAGAATATATAAGTAGGAACAAATAGAATGCTGCTTTACCACTTGCCTATAGGCCTTTGTGATCTAGTGATACCTATCATTTCTTTCCACCCACATATTTTAGGAAAACCTGTACTGCCTATGGCCCCCAACAGGCTAGATGGACTAGAAGTAGACACTTGACTTAAGCTGGGATGATGAAAGGTTCTCTCCTCAAAGTCCACAGTTTGTGACTCAGAGAATGAATCAGTTAAGTATAGAGAATAAAGTATAAAGTTACATGGACTCAAGGTCTGAGGCTGATATTTGGGGACAGCCAAATTGAATGAACAAGTGGATGAATATGCAAGGGAAGTAACTTTCAGGGAGAGAAAAATAAAGCAGATATAAACACTTGAAGCCACATGAAGAGGAAGGAATGGAGAAAAGAGGAAGGGAAGAAGTTGCCCATCCACTTCAGTGAGGTGAGACTATTTCCTGCTCTTGGGTTCCATATAATTTCTTCTTGTCCTCACAATAAATAAATCTCTCTTAACTCAAGCTAGCTTGACTAGGTTTCTGTATCTTGCAAGTAATAATCCCTATAGAAGATTAAACATCATACTTACTATAACAGTCACCAATATCATAACTCATCTGAGGAATTACTGAGAACAAGACATTCTCCTGGCAAGCCTGGAAATCTCTTGTGAACTAAGGAACACTATTATAGAAAATATCTATTATAATTTTCTCTTTTCTTATCTGTCTTCCCAAGTAGCTTGTGAATAAAACTTTATTTTTTTCATATACCTAGCAAAAGCATAGAGCCTGAAAAATAGGAAATTTTCAATAAATCAGGAAATATGAACAAATAATTAACCATTAGTAGGAGTCCAGCCTTTGAGGACTATGTCTTGGTGTATAGGCAGCAGGAATGTTCTCTCAGTTTGCTAACAGGCTGTAGGAGATAGACCCAACTCTTATTTCCTTATCTGAAAGAAAGGTGGCCAAAATAGATGCTTGCTAGGATTTCTTTTACATTTAAATTCTAACTTTTATGACTTGGAAGATGATAAAAAATATTGACCTTTAAATTCTATGAATTTATGGCTTCAAAGATGATTAAAAAGTTAGTTGAGATATGTATGAATTATAGTCA